GCCAAGCTCTCCGAAACCTGCATCTTTTGGGCGTTGGATCTCATCCCAACCACAGCTGCTGTTCTGGATACAGTGTAAAAAAACAAAAAGGGCCTCTTCCGACCTGTGGTTGTTGTTGCAGAGACTCCACAGTCACAGTAACCACCGAGACCAGCTGATGTTACAAACTCCTGCAACTCCTTACAGATGTTGTATCTCACTGTTTTCATTGCGAATAACGTGCCTTATGTAAGGACCAAAAAAAAACCCCAGCCAATGAGGCACCTCAGTTTGCACTAACACTGCCCTATTTACTATCAGGAGACCAATAAAGATTTCCTCTCTGAGTCACACCACTGGCTGGCTCTTCCACGTGCTGTTCATTGCTGGGTGGGGGCGTTACATGTGGGGTTACTGCTGCACCCCCACCTCCGGGCAGAAGCAGCACACATGGATTTCCAAAGGCTCCTGCCTGTCCTGAACTCACCCAACTCGATTCCCAGCCTCCAACTTGCTTTCCAGCCTCAGGCAGCACGTGGCAAAACCAGCAATTCTCCCGGGACTAGGAGAGGGCTGGTGGCAAAGCAGCCAGAGGGAAGCTATTTCCTCGATGCTGGAGGCTGCTGTGTAAATGCAGAGAGCCAGCAGGCAAGGCTGCAGCCACAGAACTGGCAGCTTGGCTCTGGAACAGCTCTGCCCAGTCATTCCAATGGAAAACCAAAGTGGCTCCTCCTACCCATCTTTATACTCCTACTTCCAGTGCTTAGCGGGAGAACACAGCAGGGAGGGAATAAACTCAAAAAACGAAAAATAAGGGTTTATTACAGATCTTACAAGGTCCAGATCAGTGCTCTGACCGTGCTCCCAGCTTGCTGAGCTTCTGCAGGAGGGTGCAGCGCAGCTCCTCGTGCCCCAGGCTGTCGGTGACGGACTGCAGGAAGTGCCCCTCGTTGGCTCTGCGCAGCGCGGCACACGGCGACACGTCAGCCTTGCTGGACACCTCATACTGTGACAGCACCTCCAGGGCCACCACCAGCAGCGGCTCCTCGCAGCCCCCAGCTGGCAGCATGGCAGCCACGTGCAGCAGGTGGCAGAAGAGCTGGATGCAGGTGAAGGACACCTCCTGTGCGCAGGGCTGAGCCGCGGCTCGCGCCGTGGCCTGCAGGGAGGCCAGCAGGTCGGTGAGGCTGGAGCAGTAGAGCTGCACCAGGTGCAGCCAGGCCTCTGAGGGCAGCCAGCTGGAGCAGCTGGAGCTGCAGAGGAGCTGGAAGCCCCTCAGGAGGAGCACAGAGAGCTGCAGGTGGCAGGAGAAGGGGCGGAGGTTGAGCAGGGGCAGGTGCTGCACGTACTCCAGCGTGTAGGGCACGTGCAGCACCTGCCTCTGTAGCAGCTGCTCCACCACGGGCACCAGCCTCTTCCACTCACCGTGGCTGCACCAGGGCAGCACCTGGATGAGGGCCACCAGGAAGCCTTTGCTGAAGAGATTCACCTCCTCAGGGTTGTCCACGTTGATGGAGAGCAGTGCCAGCATGGTGTCCCTGAGCGCTGGGGACACGCAGCAGCACTCCATCCACGCCAGCAGCCCGCTGCCCGGCCCGTAGGCTGGCCAGGACTGGGATGTCCACTCGTCCTCAGGGAACCTGCAGATCTCAAACAGTGTTGCTGGGACCTCGTTCTTGAAGTGGTCCCCATAAAGGTTCTTCAGACGGAGCCCCACGGTCCAGTCCAGAGCTGCCACCTTCCTGTGGAGCCAGGCCAGCGACTGCACCCACAGCTCCGGGGAGGGGACGGTCTCTGGTCCCAGCAGCTCACACAGCTGGCAGAGGATGTTCAGAATCAGGTCTTTGGTCTCCAGGGAAGGGAAGAGCTGCTCCCTAGGCTGATGCCAGTACTTGGTGTAACCATCCAGAAGTTTGCAGAGGCTGAGGAGAAGCGGGAACGGGTGGCAGGATTTGATCCAGTGCTCTTCTGAGCAGGATGGTATTCCCAAAACCTTACTGAGAATCTGCAGGCTCAGCTCAATCTGAGCACAGCCTGACTTCAAACAGGGAAGGACAAAGGCTTTGGTCACTTCTGCAGGTGACACAAGTGGGGTGGCTGAGCCTGGCTGCATAAGAAAGGCCAGGAACTGAAGGAATTGTTCCTCTTCCCTTGCTGTGGAAAGCTTCCCCCACACTGCCTCCTGCAGACACCTCAGCACCAGGCTGTGTGGCCTGCCTGCATCCTCGTGGCTCTCCAGGAAGTTCAGTGCTGGGAAGGAGCAGAGGATTTGGGCAAGGAAGTGGTGTGCTCCGAGGTTGACCACAGCGAGGTGACAAACCTGCTTCACTGTGGCCTCAGGGGACAGCAGTGTCAGCCTGGCCACAGAATCCACCGCCCTGGCCAGGCCTTCATCAGACACACTCTCTGTGATCTGGTTCAAAGTTACATTCAGGTCCTCCTGGAAACCCTCCCTGACAACTTGCACGTTCTGGGACAGGCCTGGGCCACCCCAGGACGCCAGGACACCTGAGATCACTTTGTTTTTGTCACTCAATGAGAGCTCAGTGTAACACTCCACGATGGCTTTGGTCACTTGCATCTGCAGCTCTTGGGTCTCCTTGTCATGGTGGGATGTGGCAAAGCTCACCAGTGTCTCCAGCAGTTTCAAAACCAGCTCAGGGGTCTGGAACAGAGCTTTGTTTTCCACCAGGCACTCAACCCAGGCCTTTGAGAAAGCCCAGGTCTTTTCAGATGCAAAAACAGAGCAGGTGTCCACGTGGCGGTCCAGCCTCTGTGCAATGATTGCCATGGCAACTGAAGACACCAGGCTGGTGTCCAGATCCTCCAGGACAGCACTGGTGTCCCTGCGGAAGTCCTTGGTGAGCTGTGTCAGCTCTGACACCAGATGTGTCTCACCCTCCCCCAGGTCTCTGGTCTCTGAGAGGAAATCCAGGTTCTTCCCAAGGCTGGTCAGAGCATCCAGCAGCCGGTAGCTCTCGAAGCTCAGCTCCTCAGGTGCCCTCAGAGTGTCCTGCAGCTCCTCTCCCCAGGCCTGCAACAAGCTGCAGAGCAAGTCCAAGCCAGCAAAGAGCTCCTCACGGGAGGGTCTGGTCAGGCACAGGAGGCTCATGCTCCTCTCTGCCTCCCTCACCTTCTCTCCCAGCCCACAGGGGTGGTACTGGCTGTCAGTGTCACTGCTCCACAGGCTGACCATGGCACTGAGCTTGGCCAGGTGCTCTGTGATGGGCAGGGGGCTGTCCCCTAGCCCCAGCCCCGAGGACAGGCACAGCAGCTCGGCCAGGTTGGCCAGGGCGTGGCACCTCAGGCGGGGCTGGGCGATGCTGCCTCGGATCTGCTTCAATCCCTGCAGCAGCACCGCCGGCAGCCCGGGGGCAGCAGGGTCACCCTTGAACCTCTTCGGGGGCTGCAGCCCATCCTCCAGCGAGGGCTCCCCGCCGTGCTGATGGATGAGAGCGCCGAACGCCGACACCGTGGCATCCTCCTGTCCCTCCCTGTGCTTCAGCACCTCCCACCACACGTCCAAGAAGAAGCTGACGTCGGACGGGGATGTGTCGCTGGAGATGTACTGCACCAAGCTCTCCAGCTGCGCCCGGCACACGCCGGGGGGCAGCGCCAGCAGCAGCTGCACGAAGAGCCGGGGCACGCCCAGCGCCTTCACCAGCTCGAAGAGCGCGGTGTGGTTCACATCGGGGATCATCGCGCCCACCGAGAAGAACCCGTCCTCCTTCCAGCCCCACTCCAGCGCCGCAGCGGCGGCAGGAGGGGCGGGCAGCAGGATCTTGGCCCACACGATGGCCACGGCCTCCTCTTTCCAGCGGCCCCGCGGCGAGGGGCAGCGCTCGCCGATCTCGCGCAGCGCGTCCGTGATGGGCACCCCGGCGCGGGGCCAGTCGGCCTTGCGGAGCTCCCGCAGCGGCCGCGGCTGCAGCAGGCGGGCGGCCAGCAGGAAGCCGCCGTGCAGGATCGCCGTCTCCTCGCCCACGGCCCACGGGCCCCCGGGACAGCCCGGCGCCATCGCGGCCCCGCGCTCCGCCGGCTCCATGGCGGCGGCGCCGAGCGATGACGTCACCGCGGCGGTGAGCTGACGTCACGCCGCAAGCCGCGCCCACAGCGCCCCCTGGCGGAGCGGAGGTGGGCTTAATTAATTAATTAATTGCCGTGCTCCAATATCAACGTGTTTAATTTGATGAAAAGGATCCAAAACCATCAATAAAACTGAATTGAATTTGGCTTAATTAATTAATTCATTCATTAATTCTGTGCTCCAATATCAACGTGTTTAATTTGACAAACAGGATTCAAAACTGTCATTAAAAAAACCTGAACTGGGCTTAATTAATTAATTAATTAAATTCTGTGCTCCAATATCAATGTGTTTAATTTGACCAATAGGATTCAAAACCGTCACTAAAACAAATTGAATTGGGCTTAATTAATTAATTCATTCATTAACTCTGTGCTCCAATATCAACGTGTTTAATTTGACCAACAGGATTCAAAACCTATTATTTCAATTCATTAAAAGTGAATTGAAGAGCTCAGACAAAACTGCAGCAAGGTATTTTTCCTGTTCCAGCTCAGAAATGCCTGATCTCCATGAAACTCATTTCAGTTTCATGATGAGAACCCGATTTAAGGTATTTTATTTCATTTTTTCATCAGGAAAATGAGCAGTCAGGCAGCATATCTGGCACAAACAACACCAGGAGTGACTCCCTGTATTCCCAGAAAAAGCAGAGTGACTTCATTCCAAAGGAATAAACCCTGAACCGTTATTTCCAAAGTTTCTTACCAAAACCCAACTGCAAATCTTATTTCAAGCTGCCCCCTGGCACCTCAGCAGACATTGCAGCTGCAAACCCCAAAGCACAGCCTCAGCTCATGGAAATCTCCTGGAGAAGGAGTGGAAACCACCCCATCCACAGCAGGATCCCAGTGAGAAACACCCCAGGGGCTCTTGAGCGCAATTTCCCCCTGGAATTTGGGGAAACACCTTGGAATGAAACAAGGATGCAGCATTCACACAAATCATTTCTTTGTTCCCAATAAAGGGATGCACCCCACACCCCAGTGGAGAGGGGGAGTAGCCACAGCTACCTCAAAATCTCCTCTCTAGCCTGCAAATAAACAACAGCTAAAGCAAATTAATCAGAAAATAACGCATCTATTCACCTTTCTTTAAAGTACAACACCACAGAAATGTGAGGTTTCCTTGAGTGATGATCCCTGGTTCTGAAGCCAGCTGCTCCTTCGCTGCACAGCCCCAGTTCTTTGGAAGGAGGAGATGTGAAAGGCAGAGACATCAGCTTAAATCAACCCAAAAATCCACCATGGGACATCCCAGCAGCCTCTGAGTGCAAAGGCAGCACTGGAACAGGATTGGCATTTTCTTGGAAGGGCTCCAAGGCACAGAGGAGCAGCCCAGGCCTTTCCCCCAGCTAAGCTGAAACCTTCTTCATGTTGTGCTCAGCAAACCACTTGTCACTGTTGTCTGCAGCCATGGCCTGCACAAAGAAAGGGGGAAGTGCTCAGAACAGCAGGAATAATTTATCCCTCCCTCTCTGGAGGGATTAATTATTTTTTAGCTACTAATAAGGAGAACTGACACTGAAAACCAATGTTCTATGCCACAGCAAACAATGTCACCATGCCCCAAGAGTGAGGCTGGACAAGTCCATCCAGGGCATCAAGTGAGCTTTAAAAATTGATTTATTTTCCTTACCAATTTGGGTAATTTGCTTCTAGGAAAAACTCAATTTTTTAATGAGTAAAAAATTAAGTTTTAAAAATAAATTTAAAATTTATAAGAATAATAAAAATATGGAAACTATAATAAAAATATGGATATGTATAATAAAAATATAGAAATTTATTATAAAATATAATAATAAAAATAATAATATAAAATGTAAAAATTTTCAAAATAAATAAAATGAAAATAAAAATAAAAATGTATACTGGAATAAAATAAAAATAATAACCTAAAATATAAATAAGATTTAAAATAAAAATATATACTAAAATATAATAAAAATAATAAAATAAAAATATAGATAAATGAAAATTAAAATTATCATAAAATATAATAATGTAGATAAATATAATGAAAATAAAAATATATACCAAAATATAATAAAATAATAAAATAAAAATATAGATAAATGAAAATATATAATAAATAAAAATTTAAAAAGAAATAATAAATAAAAAATATTTAAAATATAATTATTTTTAATGAGAAAAATTACATGTATCTCTAAAAAGGAAGAAAATGACCATGCAGTCACTTACATCATCCAACAGCTTGTCACCATTAGGGTCCACCTGGGACAGCTCTCTGAACGCTTCATCTCCCACAAAACAGACTTCATGGCCATCCTGGAAGGAAGCAGCTCAGTTATAACCAATGGCAAGGAGAAATTTAACCCCAGTTTAATCCCTGTTCCCAGTTTCACTCACAGGATCAGCCAGAATCACCACTTGCACTGTGGCTTTGCCAGGTGTGTCCAGGCTAACCAGAGGTGTCAGAATCTTCTGATTCTCCTTTTTCATCAGGGCTTCAATGCTTGGCAGCTGAAAACAGAAAACAAACTAAAATCACCTCACTGCCAGGAAGATAAACAAGGTGAGTTTTGCTAATACTAAAAATGGGAAAGGGCTGAGGGAAGTGGGGCTGGTACCTCATCCTTGGCACAGGAGAAGGCGACGCGGCCGAACGCTGTCCCGTGATCCACTGCCCCTCCTACAGCCCTCAGCTCCAGCTTGCACTGCAACAGAAAAACCCAGCCTGGCCTGCAGGGAAAACCCAGCCTGGGCTGCAGGGACACTGCTCCACTGCTCTCCAGGCTGCAGCTTTTCCTCCAGGATCTGGTGATTCCAAAATCCCCCCATCCATGCCTTTCCCACCAAGCCAGAGCAAACCACAGCCTGGCTTTTTTTAAAAGCTTCAATTCAATACAGCTTCAATTAAAACACTCCTAATTAAGGGCACAGGTGCTTTAATTAAGGACTTTTTCCCTTTTAAGATTCTGTTCTCAGGAAATTGGTGGTTTTTCCAAGGACTTACCTGGTCATCAGCATAGCCCAGCAAAGCTCTTTGTTTCTCCTCATCCTTCTCATATATTTTCATCCCAAGTAAACCAGACCAGTAGCTCACAGACTTCTGCAGGTTTGAGACACCCAGGGTTACCTTCCACACGGGATCTTGAGGATTGCAATAATTTCAAATTAGCTACAAACATTACAGGTTTAAACCCACAGTTAATGTCATTAGTACTCTTGAGAAGTAACAGAGAAATGATTTTAAAAAGTGTTCTGTTTGACAAAATGCCATCAAAATAAACACACTCTAATACCCCATTGGTAAATCTCTGCTGAACACCAGTAGGGGTAAATATTTCACCTTGCTTGAGCCGTTCCTTGTCTTCCAGGTAGAACTTGTATCCTCCTGGGGCTTCAGTTTCAAAGACACCAGAGGTGACCTCTTTGAGGGGCCAGCCCATCTTCTTGGCATTGCTCACAGCCTGGCTGGACACCAGAGTGATGCCCTAGAGAGGACACAACACAATCCATGGGGTGGATGCAGAGACATCACCTGTTTTCACAAAGCAAACACGACAGCTCCATCTGCTGCCAGCCACTAAATCTCAAAAAAAATTATTAAAATAATAAATATAAGAGTGTTTTCCTGCAGCGAGTCCTTCCTAGGTCAGCATTCCATGTTGGACCTGGCAGCAAACACCAGAGCAGAGGCAGAGCTCCAGAAATATCTTCTGGACCTTTAAGTGAGCACAAATCTGTTCTTCCATCTCAGAGACAACCACAAAAACAACACTGACATGTTGAAGGGACCAAACAGCATTAAAAAAAAGGCAGCTGGTACAACCCATACAACAAATGAGCTTCTAATTATTAAGGTAAATCAGCTTATCATGAGAAGGGTTGGCTGCTTGCAGTGGAACTCACCAGGAAGTCGTTGCCCAGGCGATATTCCCCAATGCCATAATTGTAAGTCAGCTCTACCACAAAGTGATTGTCCTCTGGTCCATAGCCCACCATGGTCTTGCTCCATTTTCCATCATAAGGGCTGGAATATCCATGTTATCCATATTTTAATGTCATTAGAATTGAAATGAACCACCAAGAGATGCTAGTATTTGTGTTTCAAGGGGGAGTTGCATTTCTAGAGTGAGATCATGGCAGATTTGACCCCGAGCTGTCATCCATGCCCATATGATAAAAGCAATTCTACCTCATTAACAGTGCTTTAAGGGCACAGGCTGCTCATTAGCTGCAATTACATAATCACTTCCTTATTGCTGAGTAGGAAAGGGCTCTTCAGAATAAAATGTGTTCCTCTTTCTTCTTTTTTTCATTGCTTTTTCTTTACAAAAGCCTTTGGGGCTAACAGGAGGGATTTTTAACTCAAGAACCTTGATAGTGCCACGCTTATATAAACTATCAGTGGAAACTGGATGTAATTCCTGGTAAGCTAAGAAATAATTCAGACAAGTATCAATCTATAGATGTGGCATTTATGTTCAATACAAGCTCCACACCTGCAGAGTGGGGGGCTGTAGGTTCCAAGGGAAGAGATTGAATAAAGATAAGATAACCCTTACTTTAGTGTGAATAACAGCTCGGGGCACTCACCCGTTGCAGGCGGCCTTGCAGCCCTCCTCGAACTCCTCGTGCCGCAGCACCTGGAGAGCCACAGCACGGGTTGGGTTGGGAGGGGACCTCGAGGATCCATCCCCTCCTTCCAACCTGAAACGCCTTCCTGAGGCCAGGGGGAAGCGGGAGGGAGCGGGGCCGGAGCGGGCAGGAAACGGCTCCCACCCCATTCCCATTCCCATTCCCATTCCCATCCTACCCCCACACCATTCCCATCCCCACCCCATTCCCGTTCCCATCCCCATTCCCATCCTATCCCCACCCCATTCCCGTACCCATCCCCATTCCCATCCGACCCCCACCCCATTCCCATGCCCATGCCCATGCCCATCCTATCCCCACCCCATTCCCGTCCCCGTCCTCTGGGCCGCGCTCCGGGCACACGGAGGGCGCAGAACCGCCCGTTCCCGGCCGCAGCCGCCGCCCCCCGAGCGAGCGCAGCCGCCGCCGCTGACCCTCATGCCGAGAAGCTCCCGGTAGAACCGCGCCGTGCGGGCCCGGTCTCCCACTTTGAAGACGAAGTGCAGCGCCCTGCGGGCGGCCATGGCGGCGGCCGTGACGTCACTGGGCGCTGCGCGGTGCCGCGGTGACGTCACGGGGCGGTGTCATGGCGGCGCCGTGGCCGGCGCTGCGGCGGGCGCTGCTGAGGCCCCGCGGGCCGCGGGCGCAGCCGGGGCCGGGTGGGCGGCGCGGGGTGCGGGCGCTGCGGCGGAGCCCCGTGCGGGTGCTGCAGCCGCAGAGCCCCCGGGAGCCGCAGCCGCCGCCGCCGCCTCCGCCCGCTGTGGAGCGCAGCGCGGCCGCGCCGGGGCTGTGGTACGAGAAGGCGGCGGCCGGGGACCGCAGGCTGGGGTGAGCGCGGGGAGCGGGCCCGGCCGTGCTGCCCCTCAGAGCCCCGCTGGACGGGGGGAAAGGGCCGCCCGTGGGAGGGAGGGGGGTCTGACAGGCGCTGCCGGGCTGGAGGTACCGGGGAATGGTTGGGTTGAAGGGAGCTCAAAGCCCGTCCAGTTCCATCCCTTACGTGGGCAGGACACCTTCCCACAGAGCAGGTGCTCCAAGCATCATCCAGCCTGGCCTTGGGCACTGCCAGGGATCCAGGGGCAGTCACAGCTGCTCTGGGCACCCTGTGCCAACCTTACCACCCTCACAGGGAACAATTCCTCCCCAGTATCCCATCTAATCCTGCCCTCTGGCAGTTCAAAGCTATTCCCCATTGTCCTGGCACTCCAGGCCCTTGTTGCAGTCCTTTGCCAGCTCCCATTCAGGTACTGAAAGGTGCTCTAAGGTCACCCCAGAGCCACCTCGCCCAGCCTTTGCTCCCAGGACAGGTGCTCCATCCCTCAGATCACCGTTGTGACCTCCCAGAGGAGCTCTGAGGGGCTCGTGAAGGTCAGACTGAAGGTGTTGTGAGCATCACGGCCACATTCCCTGAATAATTTCTCCACAGAAAAGTGGTGACTATCGCCAAGTCAAAGAAGTTTCGGGATAATCACGGGAAGGTTCTGCTGGAGGGGCACAGGCTGATCAAGGATGCTCTGGAGGCAGGGGCTGTGCCACAGACACTCTTCTTCAGCACCGTGAGGCACCTGAAGCTGCTGCCTGAGGCTGAGATAAAACGAGCCAGCTTGGTTAAGGTGAAATTTGAAGACATTAAGACCTGGTCTGACCTCGTAACTCCTCAGGGGCTTCTTGGTAAGTTGTCTCTGAAACAGTTGCAACACTGCCCAAAGGGAAACTTTTCATATTTAAGATAATGACTCTCTTAATAATCTTTCCGTAGACGTAGCACTGCTGGAAAATAAGTTTTCCTTGCCAAGTAACAAACTCTCTCAAACTTCCTTTAGGTGGTGCTTTTCCTAACGCTTCCTCCAGCACATCTTTAGTGAGATTTGGGCCAACTCTTTCAGAGCAGGCCTCTCCTTGGGGTGGGTCACTCATAAACCTGTCACACTCCATTTCCTCAGGCATTTTTTCCAAGCCTGACCCTGCCAAGATGTCCTACCCAGCAGCTCAGCTCGCCAACTCCCTGCCACTGCTCCTCATCTGTGACAACATCCGAGATCCAGGAAACCTGGGGACTATTCTGAGATCTGCAGCAGGAGCAGGCTGTGAGAAAGTGCTGCTCACCAAAGGTAAGAGAAAAGTTTGGGGGTAAGGGGGGGAATGAGATTCTTGAAGATGTTCCCCAGAGTTCCTAAGGAGTGGCTGGCATGGTTGGCTGTGGTGTGAATCCCACCTTTGTGGGGATCCCTGTGCTGTCACTGTTTCTCCCTGTTCCTTCCCAGGCTGTGTGGATCCGTGGGAGCCAAAGGTGCTCCGTGCAGGCATGGGGGCTCATTTCCGTGTGCCCATCATCGCCAGCCTGGACTGGGAATCTCTTCCCACCAACCTCCCTGCGGGCACCCAGGTCTGCGTGGCTGACAACAACGACCCCAGCAGCACATCCCTGCCCAGAGGGGCTGCCTCTGCTCCTGCCAGCCCAACAGCTCCTGTGAAATCCAGCCCCAAGGCTGCTCCTGAGCACGAGGATGAGGAGGGAGCAGCAATCCCAGTGCAGCATTACTACGAGGACTGGGCACGGGCTCCGGTGGCCGTGGTGGTGGGAGGGGAGACCCAGGGCCTGAGCCCAGCTGCACTGGGGCTGGCAGCCAGCACGGGGGGCAGGAGGCTGCTCATCCCCGTGGTGCCAGGCGTGGACAGCCTCAACTCTGCTATTGCTGCTGGCATCCTGCTCTTCGAGGGCAGGAGGCAGCTGCTGTGGAGGCACAAGCAGGAGGATGGCAGGCAGAAGTTGCCTGTGCCAGGCTGAACTGTGGTTTGGGTGCTGAAGGAGCACTTCTTGCATTTGGTTCCTTGAGGGTTAATAAAAGAGCAGCTGGCGCTGTTTGGTTTGTAGTAAATGAGTATTTAAGGCTGGAGAGTGCTGGGATGAGTGTGTGGCTCCCAGTGGATGTGGTGGCCACACGGTGATGCTAGAGAGAAGGGAAGGGAAGGGCCGGGAAGCAGCCCTGGCCTCACCTCAGCCGGTTCCCCCCTGCTCCAGCTCTTTTATCCAGGAGATCCATGGAGAGCTCAGATCCCTGGTCTGTGCTGGCCCAGCCCGGCTGCTGCTGACAGCGTGTGTCCTTCCCAGCCTGGCTGTGGTTTTGGGTCACAAAGACCACATTGCTGCTGCCTGAATGGCTCCTGCCTGTGCTTACCCAAATCCTGTGCTCCAGCAATCACTCCCAGCCCTGCCATGGCCAGGCTGGCCCGGGTGGCTGTGCTGTGGGGTGTCCCAGCTCCAGCACTCCTGCCCACACTGCTGGGAGGTGCTGGGCTGCTCCTGGAGCTGCTCCCCAGTCACTTCACCACTGCTGAACAGGGGAACCCCTGAAAACGTGCAAAACACAGGCTGGGTTTATGCAGGCTGAGCTGGCAGCCATTCCCAGCTCCTGGCAGGGCGGGAAGCTGCAGCAGGATAAAAGAGGAGGCCCTAATCCTGCCATGGCTGACTAATGAGCTGAAAGGGAGAAGCAGTGGCTTGCACAACACGGGCTATTCAGGCTGGGACATCAGGCTGGGAACGCCCCAGTGGCTGCCAAAGGGCTCCCTCCCTCCTGAGGAGCTCTGAGCAATGCCAGCAAAGCAGCACAGGCAGGGGCTGTGTGAGCCCAGAGAGGACACACAGTCCCTGGAGCCCCCATCCACGGGGACAGGCTGTGGGCTCCTGTCCCCCATGCAGGTTTCCTCTCCCTGACAGCAGGACACAGCATCGGCACCTCGGGGAGGAGGTCATTGTAACAGTTTTATTACAAAGTTCCAATCACCATGTACAGTTTTTACAATGTCACTTTTCAAGGGCTCGGCTGTGCTGCTTGGGTTAGGGAGGGAGGGTTTGTTTTTTTTCTTAGGGTTTGGGAGGGGTTTTTTTTGGTTATTTTTTTTAAAGAACAGCACCATTAACGTTGAGTTTGGGACACACCTACGAAAAACAGCTCAATCAACTAACACAGAGGGGAGAGGACAATTCATACCAGAGAGAGGGATGAGACGGGACAGGGAGAGCACAAGGAAGAGACGAGAGGTGAGGGCAGCCCGGTGGTGATCCTCCTCCTGGCTCAGAGTGGGAGGGACAGAGGGAATACCCACCCATGGCAGGGGGATGGACCCTGACACAACAGCCAGCGCTGCCTAAGGCTGTCGGTGCTTGGAGTGAGGGGTGGGAAACCCACAAGGGAAGGTCTCACCCCCAGGAGGAAGAGCTTGGCTGTGCCGTGGTCTTTCAGAGGTTGTCAGCAGTTAAGACTTTGTCTTGGCCTTGTCAGGGCACTTTCGTGGGAGAGAAAGAACTGGCCAGGGGCGATGGGGACAGTTTCCTTATTGCTTCCTGGAAGTCATTTAGTCAGCAGGGGTGGTGAGAAAGGAAAGAAGGGGGGGAGGAGAAAGAAAAGAGCCCCAAGAACCCACCCACTGCCTGATGCATATGTTGGGAAGAACACCATGCAAAAAGATTTGCCTGCTAGCTAGTGCCGTGTATAAAATAACGATACAGTAACAGTTCTGGCCTGGTTATTAGAGGATATATCACCATGAAGCACAAGCGAAGTCTCCAAACGCCAACAACTCCCTGCTGAAAGTGCATCTCAAGGAGTTTGCTTAGGAGAAGGATTCACTGCGTAAAACAAGGCACCACAAGAAGGTTGGATACTGGGTCGGGCGTGAGGACACGCTGGAGAATCCACAAGCGGCGGAAGAGAGACCTGGTTTTAAATAACGTCTGTTGGCACAGGGGCCCTTAGATGGGCTCGGGTTTTAGCTTGTCTGCTAGAAAGTCGCTGACAAAGGCTTCCACGATTTCAGGTGTGATCTCCTCCACATCCATCACGTACTTGGCCCTGGCTGACATGTCCAGGATGGTGAGCAGGGGTGCAGCCTCGGGCAGGTTGGTGTAATCCCGCAGGGAGTCGGTCATGTCGTCCTGGAGGCCAAAAGGAGAAGGACAGAGGAGTCAAGAGCAGAGCCAGGAGACCAGGAGCAGTTTGCTGCTGCCACAGTGTAGCCCAGGAGGCTGGGCCTTGCACCAGCACTAGCAGGCAACATCCATCTTGGTGCCTGCTCTGCTCGTGGTTTGTGTCAGAACCAAACTGGGTTGGTTTATCCCAGGCTGGAATGGGACATACACTCCTCCAACCCAGAGGCACTGCTCCCAGGCTGACCTGCTGCCCCAGCCACCCCAGAGCCTCTGGGACATCCACAGCTCAAGGAACTGGGGACAAGTGCTGAATGTGGGGACTGCCAGCTCTCTGCCAGCACAGCCACGGCCTTGCTGCTCACCAAGGGTGGACACCAAAGGGACCCAAGTGCACGCCCAGAACAAAGCAAAGAACGGGAATGGGATGAAGACTTTGAGCCAACGATGAGACCCCACCAGCAGGTCCCAGTGTCTGGGCACACACAGGAGCAGCAGGCTGCTTGCAGGGGGAGAGGACTGCCCTCCCCTCACCCAGGCAAGGCTCAGTTCTGGGAAAAGGCAGTGATTTATCCCTCCCAAGGCTGCGGGATGCAAAGAGCCGGC